CACAGTCACTGACGGTGCACACACTCCAGTGTAACCACAGTCACTGAAGGTGCACACACTCCAGTGTAACCACAGTCACTGACAGTGCACACACTCCAGTGTAACCACAGTCACTGAGGGCAGCACACACTCCAGTGTAACCACAGTCACTGACGGTGCATGCACTCCAGTGTAATCAGTCACTGACTGCGCACACACTCCCGTCTAACCAGAGGCACAGCAGCATCCTCCCATGCTTTCAATTCTGAATTTCAAACAGACTTTGCAAATGCTCCAAGAGCGCCATCCACTGTCCACCTATGCCCAACAACTGTTAACAATTTCTTTGATTTCTTTATCATTCTCTTATCTGTTGTCCCTAAACTTATTTAAACTAAGTCACAGACCCACTCCTTGATCCTCCAGCACATTCTATCTTCTTACAAAGACATTCACTTACACAGTCACAGACCAATAACCAAAATCAGGAAATTGAGTATAACCAACCAGTCTCCAAACCTCAAACGTAGCCTTGTTTTCTGTCTCTAAGACCACACTATAGGTTTTGTCTTCCTGTCTCAGTCATGACTCATGATTCAAGGTCAGCAGATGGTTCCCCAACCTGTGTCCATGGCTGTGCTCTCTGTGACGAGCACAGTGTGCTTTATAATGTCCCCCCCGGGCTCCACCCGCTGTTTCCACACAATGCGACTGAATGCCATGCGTTTCTGCAGAAACCTATCTTCTCCTCCAAACGTCACCCAGAAGTGCCAACTTCTGTAAGTCCCTCTGCTAGAGATGCTAGCCTTGGTCCTTGGGTTAGGAAGGTAAAGTCACCACTTCTCACCTTCCGACCATTGATGTCCCCCTAGTCAGGGGACAGGAAGTGCTCCTGTTCCTCACTGAACTGCTGCCCACACTCTGGCATCCACAGATGATTTCTGCTGGAATCACTGGTTGCTGTGACAGCAGCACTCCTGCCAATTCCCTGGCTGACACCAGTCAGGAATGTCCCCTGCAACCTGTGTGTTTACTGGCCTGTGGTGTTCTGACCTAACCCCAGAGGGCTACACTCCACTTGGCTTTCCTATTCAGTCAGATATGGCAAGCAGGCGCTCCTTCCAGCTCATTCCTGTCCTCCTGACAGGCCTGTTTTTTCTAAGCATTTCCTGCCTAGGGAGGAGATGTTCCGTTTTTATACTTTCCCTTATGCGGACTCTGAGGGAACCAGCTGCTTCACTAAAGTGCTGGGGCCATTTACCAAGAGGTGATTTTTAGAAAGCAAGATCTGCTTGTGGCTAAAAGCCTCCATCACTGCTTCTAAGCCATCTCGGCACAAAGTAGGACACACGATGTTATAAGCTGTAGTCTTGAAAATCATATTCAGTAAGAAGAGCAAAACACAAAACATTCATCATTCACTTCTGCATCTGAACAACACAGGTAACAGAAACACCATGCCACTGGATATGCATATATATGGGTTTGGTTCACTTTTTTATCTTTTTGGGTACTGTCTAGGTTTGGGGGGAGAAGGGTTGGTGTATTAGGTTTTTGTTTGTTTGAGAATGAACTTAAAGTTGGGTGGGTAGGGAGCGGGGGATGATTTAGAAGAACTTGGGGGAGGGAAAGACCATGATCCAAATATATTAAATTTAAAAAATTGTTTTAAATAATAAAAAATGTCAAAAACTACATTAGACACCGATTAAGAGTTAATTTTCCTTTTATATTGAGTAAAATTTTATTACACAGCAAGTTATTTATATAAATCTCTCAATTTCATAAATCAAAACCTAAGTAAAACTGTAACTTAATTTCAGGCTTATAGTCACCAAAGTTTTTAGTGGTGAGAGTAAGAGGATCTAGGCAAAAACAAGTATAATTATATCGAAAACAAAAATAAGAGGCAGTTCTAAGCATTTTGGGTCTAAGATTTTCTTTTTCCTTCTTTCTTTCTTTCTTTCTTTCTTTCTTTCTTTCTTTCTTTCTTTTTTTTTTTTAAAGACAGAGTTTCTCTGTGTAGCCCTGGCTGTCCTGGAACTCACTCTGTTGACCAGGCTGGCCTCAAACTCAGCGATCCACCTGCTTCTTTCTCCTGAGTGCTTGGATTAAAGGTGTGTGACACCATTGCCTGGCAGATTCTAAGACTATTGTAGCCGCTTGGTCTACAAGAGCTAGTTCCAGGACAGGCTCCAAAGCTAAAGAGATCCTGTCTAGAAAAATCAAAAAAAAAAAAGCAATAAAAATAAATAAATACTAAAATTAAATTAGCAATTTGGTCAGAAGAGAAAACTGAAACGAATTAGTCTTTCTTTTTCTGGTTTCTCAGTAGCTTTGGAGCCAGCCCATCTCTGCCTCCCAAGTGCTGGGATTAAAAGCGTGTGCCATCACTGCCCTGCACGGATTAGTCTTAAAGAATGAATTTTTCTGTTTTCCTTCACCACCATTAAGAGTGACTGGGCATAATGACCAAAAGAAGTCCCCAGCGTAACTAAAGAAGAGTGAAGCAGGCTGTCCCGGGGACCTACGTGAAAGCATTCGGTGCTGAAACCTCACGGCACAGTCGGTCTAGGCCGCAGTCACAGACACATGCAGACCACACACCCATCCTCCTGGCGCAGCCCATGAAGAGCTCCAGTCACACGGTGTCAGCAGAACACTCAGCCCTGCTACTGCACTACTGTAACCAGAGCTGCCCACAACAGCAGTTACGGTCTCTCATGTCAGTTACGGTCATGTCACGTCATTAAAACTTCTCACACACTTGGTCTGCTTCCTGCAGTCCACAAGTGTCCCAGTGTCTTCAACATTAAAAAAAGAAACTCTAACAGAGTTAGATACTGAGTGTCTCCCTTTACCTGTACATAAGCATCTTGAAATCAAGGATTACTTTTTAGCCTTCGCTGTGTCCTGTACTCCTATAATCCTAATAGGTGCCCAGTAAATAATACTGAACAAATGAAATTAAAAAGCAGAGCATCGAACGAGACTATGAGTCCGTGGAACAACGTAAGCACGAATGTTACAAGTCCCTACCTGGTAACTAACTGTTTTCTTTCCATCACTAGTATGAGGTAAGGTCAAAGGTCCTGATACTATCCAAACATCTTCAAATCTCTCCGTCAGTTCACGACAATACATTTCTATCCTGAAAAACAATCAAAACATGTTATATGTTTACAGGCACACATGTAAGAAAGCAACAAGTCTGGGCTGGGGAGATGGCTCAGGAGTTAAGAGAACTGACTGCGGTTTCAGAGGTCCTGAGTTCAAGTCCCAGCACCCACATGGTGACTCCCACCCATCTATAATGAGATCTGGTACTCAGAATACTATATACATAATAAATAAATTTTTTTTTAAAAAAAGAAAGCAACAAGTCACCCAGTCCCTACGAAAGACATCTATCTCATTTAAGAAATTAACTTGGGGGGCTGGAGAGATGGCTCGGTGGTTAAGAGCACTGGCTGCTTTTGCAGAGGACCTGGGTTCAGTTCCCAGCACCCACATGGCAGCTCACAACTGTCTGAAGATCCAGTTGCAGGGGATCTGACACCTTCACACCAATGCATATAAAATAAAGTTAAATAGACCATAAAAATATTTAAAAAAAAAAAAAAAGAAGAAAAGAAAAAAAAGAAGCTAACTTAGGGATACCAATAGTGGCACACACCTTTAGTCCCAGCACCAAGGAGGCAGAAGGAATTGGATCTTTTATGAGTTCAAGGTTAATCTGGTCTACAAAGAATTCCAGACCATCTGGGGCTGCACTGTGAGACCCTGTCTAAAAAAAAAATTTAAAGCCAGGAGGTAGTGGTACACATCTTTAATCCCAGCACTCAGGAAGCAGAGGCAGGCGGATCTCTAAGTTCAAGACCAGCCTGGTCTACAAAGCAAGTTCCAGAACAGCCAGCATACACAGAGCAACCCTGTTTTGGGGGAGAAAAAAAAATTTAAAGCAATCTGTTTAAACTTCAAACTATTAAAAAATATGTCAAATCAGGCACGATGATGCACACCTTTAATCCAGGACCCAGGAGGCAGAGGCAGGAGGGTCTGTACAGGTTAGAGACCAGCCTTGCCTACACAGTATCAGGACTGCAGCCATGCATGCTCATCCCATCTGAAGCTGAAGGTCAGACCGTCTCCAGCATTACCCGGAAAGTCAAAAGCTAAACTGCCGTTCCCTAAGTCATGGCTGTTTCTAGAACATGGGTCCTAAACGACTGACAGAACCTAACAGCCAGTCTGGGGGCACTTGTCAGCAGAATGGATCCTAAATGTACTAGGAACACAGACTTCCTTACCCAGCTTACCACGGGAACTGTTAGGTTCTGGTCGCCCCATGCGGCAGTTATCTCCGTGGAAACCATCTACACAGCACAGTGCTAGGGACAGAGACGGCTTCACAACACCATCATCAGCATGGTACTGAGAAGTACTTTTTGTTTTGTTTTTGATTTTTAAGGCAGGGTTTTGCTGTGTAATTGCCCTAGCTGTCCTGGAACTTCCTCTGTAGACTAGGCTGCCTCTGCCTCCCGAGTGCTGGGATTGAAGGAGTGTGCCACCACCGGGCTCGTAATATGCACTTTTTATATTGCACTTGGCCGGGATCTAAAGGAGACAGCAGTTCTTGCCACCATTCCTCTCCGCTTCTTTCACAGTGCAAATGCCCAGTTACAAGGTGAAGATCTACAAAGATCTCCCCAGGGAAAAGAAATGTAAAAGGCTCCCACAGGTGTACAATCAGCAACACAACATGGGAAGGGGTAAGAACACCCCAGAGCGTCAACAAGCTGGAAGGAAGAGCTTTACAAAGGAGTGAGAGGATCCATGAGTTACATCTGAACCCTGGCTGGATCCCAACAGCAGCAAGACAGTCGGGGGAACAAACACCGTCAAGCCGGTACCAGAGCTACTGCCCGTTTTTAACTGCAATAGCATTGTGGGTTACATTTTAAAACAATTCTTTTCTCCTAAAAATATAATTTATGATGCCATATATTATAATCTGAGCAAGTGGTAGGGGTTAAGGTACACAGATGCAGTAGATGTGTGCTGATTGGTCTTTACAGACTCCTCTCACGTTTTTTATGAGTCTGTGTTTGCATACAAGCACATGAGTGCCACAGAGCCTGGCCAAGGTGTTAGAAGCCCTGGAGCTGGAATCACAGGCGGCTGCGGGCTAGCTGGTACGGAAGCTGAGAACCAAACTCCTGTCCTCTACAAGAGCAACACTGGCTTTTCACCACTGGGCTGCCTCTCTGGCCCTTGGGCATCTTCTTCATGTTTATTTTTTTTAAATTTATCTTTTTATGTGTGTGTTACCTGCATGTATGTAAGTGTACATGTGAGAACCGGAAGAGGACATTGGGTTTCATGGAACTAGTGTCAGAGGCAGCTGGGGCCATAAACACTGATGTTGGACACTGAACTCAGACCTTCTAGACGAGCAAGCATGCTCTAAGTGCCGAGCCATCTCCCCAGCTTTATTTTCTTTCTTTTGTTTGTTTGGTTTTGGTCCTTTGGTGCTAAGGATGAAAGTCATGGCCCCTGCCCATTTGAAGCAAGCAGTCTGTCAATGAACTACACTTCTAGCCTTATTCTGAACCGTAAAATACACAGGAAAAGCACACCTGCCTGAAACAACCTTAACCAGTGTTAGTCTCCATGCCTGCTGAGACCACCTGACAGAACGGAACAATGCCAAAAGAAAGCAGAAGGCTCAGATGTCCTGGTTTCTACCACTAAAATGGCTAACGGCTGTGCTGAACTGTACCACACCAAACCTTTCTCTTGCAAAGTTCAGAAACAGGCAGTGTGCTGGTCCACACCTGCCACCCCAGGACTTTCAAGGCTGAGGAAGGAGAATCCCAAGCAGGAAGCCAGTCTTGGCAATTGACAGTGCCTCCCCCAAAAAAGCTTAGGAACAAACAAAGTGCCTTCCCTGGACATGTGGCTCAGCCACTATCAGGAATGTTACTTTGAGTCATTTCTCTCAAAACCGGACTTGAACAGAAGTGAACCATCAAAGAGGCAGGCTATCTTTTGTTCTCCCGTAGAAGGCTGTACTCCCACACAGCCAGGAGAGCATCTGGAAAGTGAGAGCCAGCGCGTACATGCCTCAACAGTCTCATCACACCACCCTCACCCACACCTACCTATTCCAGTAGCCGGAATTGTTATCGAAATCCTGAGGCACAATGTTTGAAAGGTAGAAGGTCTCCGCCATAGCCTTCTGTGAAAGAAAAGAAAACAGCATGCTATTCTAGCAGGCCTTCCCTTCAAAGGCTCCACAGCAGATGCTAACAGCCCCAAATTAACACCTCATCTCTAGCAGCTAGGACTACAGGACCACTCATCAGGGATGGAATCCACTCAGGCCAGCAACCACACTGCCACCCATTTACATCCCAACCCACTGAAACAAAGGCGTAAATATTCCAAGACAGAGAATTCTGTCATTATTGCAATGTAACAGCTGCAGGGTCAGTGAGATTGCTCAGCAGGTAAAAGTGCTTGCCCCACGAGCTTGTTACCCTGAATCTGGTGCCCGGAACTAACAAAAAGGTGAAAGGAAAGAACTCTACAAGTTGTCCTTTGACCTCCACATACACACACACACACACATTCAATATATGCAAAATAATTTTAATTAAAAAAAGACTAACCCTTTCTCAAGAAAAAAATTCATTAATTTTTAAAAAGACTATAAGCTGGGTACAGTGGCACATGCCTATCATACCAGCGCTTCAGAGGTGAAAGCAGGGATCAGGAGCTCAAAGGCAACCTAAGCTATACAACGGGCTCCAGGACAGCCTGTACCACATGAGACTGTCTCAAATAATAATAGTGTCAACTACAATAAAAAAATAAGAACTACAATGTAAATAGTTCAGTGTGTCTGGCCTTTCCCAGCATTTGTATCATCCAAAAGCATGTTTATGAGCTCCAAGGACTAAAAGTCTCCAAAGAAAGCTGCAGAGTAACGTCTGGAGGAAAAGTCAACTTTCAGGGACTTTATTTAAGGTATGAAAAACAACAACAACAACAAGAAAACATTTAGTAAAAAAGTGGCAGAGAAAATGTCCTTTTCTCCCAGTCTCTAGCCACCACAAACCCACTCAGTGGCATGTCTGACCAACGTACACAAAGCTGTTTCAATGACTGCAGTCAATAGCTGCCATCAGCATATTCATCCCTTCAAGGGTGGTCCCGGCCTGGCCGCCACTGCGGTACTGGCCACCACTGCGGTACTGGCCACCACTGCGGTCAGATGCACTGCCATCTCATCAAGGGCAGTCCCGGCCTGGCCATCACTGTGGTCCTGGCCACCACTGCGGTCAGATGCACTGACATCTCATCAAGGATGGTCCGGGCCTAGCCACCACTGCGGTCCTGGCCACCACTACGGTCAGATGCACTGCCACTTTGTCTCAACTTCTCTACAAAGCTCTCAAACTTTTAAAAATAAAAATGAGTAGCTGAGCCCCTAGTGGCTTTTCTGCCCCCTTTATATTTAGAATTTAGTTTTCAGGGGCAAGAGACAGACAGACAGACACTGATGTCCTCGAGCTTTACGTTCTGGCCCCTAGATCATCAGTCACACATCCTCATCCTCTCAAAAGTGTGCCTACACTGGAAAACTTGTTATTTCCTGCTGGGGCCATGTGTCCTCGTGACCAACCACTTCCAACATAGTCCTCATTGCGGGCGCTGAAGGCTGAAGGGACACCGGGATCAGGCTTGAATTTACAATGTTTTCTGTCCGCGTCACCTGAAGAAAAAACACACAAAATGCTTATCAGTGGGTCTCTAAGACAGGCAAGTGGGCTACTGTGAGACGGTACCCCTTCAAGCGGCTGTATTAGGGACCACACGCATGTTTCAAGCGCCTAAAATAGTCGAGCTATTTCATCTGAGCAAGACTAGGTCTAGGGCAGGCTGCTTCTCATGCAGGGACACTAGCTCTCACACTCGGACTCTGGCCTTGCAGTGAAGAAACCATGCTGGACAGCAGGTCCAGTGAAAACAAGGAGGCGGTGAGGGGACAGAAAAGTCCACCACCTAATAAACGTGAAAAGGGATCATCCTGTCACACACAGCATGGGCAAGACCTGCACAAGCTCACACCAGACAAAGGCCCAGCAGAAGGGTGAGGGGCGTCACAAAGCTCCACTTCTCACTGAGGAACCTCCACCAAACCGAGGGCTACCGGGAGAGGGAGTAGTTTTTTCCAACAATGCTGTCCCTGAGGGATCACCTTCAAGACAACGCCACAGGACAGTGGGAGGTGGTGGCGCACACTTAGGAGGCAGAGGCAGGCGGATCTCTGAGTTCGAGGCCAGCCTGATCTACAAAGCGAGTCCCAGGACTGCCAGGGCTTTACACAGAGAAACCCTGTCTCGCAAAACAAAATAAGTAAATAATAAAAGAATTAAATAAATAAAATGCCACAGGACTATAGACTGTCTACTCTAGTCATGGCTATATGCCCAGAGCTTCATACCACCATGCGAGCACACTTAGTGGGTGTTTAAAAAAAGAGCTGTTGAGGACAGGCTCCAAAGGTGGGGGGGGGGGAGGCCTGTTGAGGTAAAAATGATGATCACTGCGTCAATATTTAGGATGGGGTCTTGAAACTCAACTGTTGAAACAAGGATATTCTCAGCCCCTGAAACAGCTGAGAAAGATCTTGGGCTCCTTGGAGACTAAGCTTGATCCATTTCATCAGAGAGCAAAATAAGCATCATTTTCAGTGTGTGCTGTGACATGTTAAAGTTGAAAATATTCTCAACCATTCCCTTATTCTAAACTTGGAAACCCTTTCATCAGTACCTGCCCTCTGTTCCGAGCACCCACCTACAATCTTGTTCTTGGATATATGTTCAAGGACCCATCTGGGCACGCGTTTTGCCTGATCATAAGATAAGGCGTGGTTAGTGTAGCGCCTGGTCTCTGTTCCGGTGAGAGGAAATCCAAACTGTTCCAAGACAACTTTTTCTGCAGATTCTAAGAAAGAAAAAGAAAAGAAAAAGAAAAAAAAAAAAGAGGGGGTGAATAAAATACAAGTAATTAGTGACTCTTACAAAGAACGAGAGACAGACTATCAAGACAACAGTGGTATCTAAAAGCAAATGGCTCAAAGGTCTCAGCAGGGAGTGATTCCCAGGGCTGAGGAGCAGGAGGCTGTAACAAGACAGACCTCATTTGTGTAGTTATTTATTAAGTCAGAGAAAATGGTCAGCAAAATCCCCTGCCTACGGTCTGCTGTGTACTCACCATAAGCCTCAACTCAAGGTGGTGTGTATTTGGTTTTGGTGCTGGGGAATGAACTCAGGGTCCTTGCTCGTGTTAGGCAGAATTCCAGAGGGCCACATTCCCAATCCTTCCATGTTTCACTCTGATACAGGGTCTCTCTGCAAGGCTCACGCTAACTTGAACTTGCTCTGTGGCCCAGGCAGGCCTTGAACTTTTGTCCCTGCTGCCTCCACCTACCACGTGTTGCTGAGTTTACAGGGATGCTGCCACCCTCAGAACTCTCAGATAAAGGACTGGCAAGAGGTGTGCAGAGTGGAGGCAGGGCACAGCTCAGTGACAGTGCAGGGCACGTGCTAGCCAATTCCTGGTGCCAAAAATAAACAAGGACCCGATCTTACTAGCTTCCCAATCTGCACCTCAAACTATAAGGAGACCTCAAAGGAAAACCATCACGTTACCATCAGTCACTGATTAAACTGGACGGGAAAGAGGTTTCGTACTTAAGGAGACAAAAATGGCCATAACTGTAGTTTCTCATCACCATGGTATCTCATCTGCCAGGCTAAATAGTCATTTTCATTTTTCTAAAGATCAGAACTCCATGAGTGAGAGCACACACCTGTTACTCCAGGTAACAGGTTTGATGCGTGGCTGAGTCACAAGGAGACCTTGCCTCAAAAGAGAAGAAGAAAAAAAAAACTAAACAATCCCTCACTGATACTTTCCCCATGTTTTAATGCAAGGAAAGAGTGGGAACCCGGTACTTTCTCCTAGTGGGGAAAAAAAACGAGACCTCGCCTAACACCCAGACGGTTACCAGTTACTCTTCCTCCACAGGCCTTCCCAGGCACCAACCACCAGGGGCGTCCTCCGGCCCAGTGGCAAGTATCAAAGAAGCTGGTTGCTCAGCAGGTCCTGGGATCAGCTGGGCCTGCAGGTGCCCCCGGGGGAACGTAAGGACTTACGTACTCTGAAGACTTCACTGAAATTCCTTCAGACATACGTGCTGTGATGCTTAGTGTCAATTTGATAGAATAGAGACAAAATCACCTGAGCCAGACCTGGGTATGCCTATGCGGGGGGAGGGGGGATCATGGTTGCAATCATTGACGTGGGAACCCCCAGCTTAACTGTGGGCGGGGTCATTCCCTGGCTGGGAATCCCACGCTGTATAGAAGGAAAGGGGGCCCAGCAGCAGCAGGCATTCGTTCCTGCTTCCTGATTGTGGAAGCGGTGTGGCCAGCTGCTTCAAGGTCCTTCCCCGCCATAACAGGGGCTGCACTTCGAACTGGGAGCAAAAACGAACCCTTCTCTTAAGCGGCTTTCGTCGGGTATTTGCTTGCTTGTTACAGCTCCAGGAAAAGAAACTAAGACACTTACTGAAGGCCAACTCTGTACCAGGTACTGTGCTGCACCTAAGGTGGAGAACAAACAGAGTCTCAGCTGGAGCTGGCGCTAAGGACGGAGGGCGGTGACGTGGGAGCCCGTAGAGGCCTGGGGATGGCGCCCGCCCGAAGACTCACCGTGCGGCTCGCCGTCCCGACGCCGGAGGAGCCGCAGCGCAGTCAGCCCCGCGCCCGCCGCGCCCACGACAGCCCCGGCCAAGAAGCCATTCAGAAACCGCAGCGAGCCCCTGTGGCGGGAAGCGAAGCTCTTAGCAGCCATCGCTCCGGAGATCTGACGCGCATGCGCACACCGGGGGTCCGAAACCTGAAAGGCCCAATCGCAAGCCCGGGAACGACGCACGCACGCGCGGTCTGGAGCCGCCGCCCAGAAGTCTTCGCCGCGTGGGGCCTCGTGCGTCCCCTGGTGACCAGCTGGGGCAGATGTGCCTGCATCCATCCCTGGTTCGGGTCAGGTGATGATGGATGAGTTGAAAGCGTCATGACTTGCGGGTTTAATCGCGTGTGCGTGGACTGTCATCAAAAGAAAATACCTTTAGTCTCCTTTACTAGTGAGTAAACGCGTTCTCATGATCCAATTCGGTGTGATTCCATAACCTGTACCACATTGGATCTGTTTGCAACACCTGGCTTCAAAATCAAAAATGCACACACTTAACTTATTAAACTACGGTGCTTGTACCTCCTGTCGAGTTTCTTGGCAAAACAGAACTCCATGGTAACCCGAGACTCTAGACCAGAGCTCGGAAGTTAAAAATCCCTGCCAAACTACTTGAGTGTGGCACCCCATCATGCCTCCTCTTTTAATCCGTGCCTGAACCAGCAAAACCGATTATCTGATAAAAGTACTGGCCACCAAAACTGACACCAGCACTCAATCCCTGTAGTCCACTAGATGGAAGGAAAGAACTAACTCCTGAGAGCGTCCTCTCTCCTCCATAACTGTGCACCTGATGGGAGAACTAACTCCCAAGAGTGTCCGCTGTCCTCCATAGCTGTTCACCTGATGGAAGGGGAGAACTAACTCCCAAGAGTGTCCGCTGTCCTCCATAGCTGTGCACTTGCCTTCCTACATGCACAGGTGTGCACAACCAGACAGAAACAAATGAATGTGATAAGATTATAATCAGGTTTGGTCGAGCTATCCATAATCCAAGCACTAGGAAGGCTGAGGAAGGAATACCTGAGTTCAAGACCAGCCTACACTACATAGTGAGTTCCAAATGAATCTCAGCTACACAGCCAGACCTATCTCAAAAAAGAAGTTAAAATCACTATCGCCATCATCATCATCTTAGACATCTAAGACTGAGGAGGGAACACATAAGATGTCTGCCCTCGAGCACATTGTAAATGGTAGCCTATTTTTATGACACCACTATTCTTGGTTTTAGAATATAAAACTGGTGGTGGCTGGAGAGATGGTTCAGCAGGTAAGCGCATTGGCTGCAGCCAGGCAGTGGTGACACACGCCTTAATCCCAGTACTCAAGTGGCAGAGGCAGGGCGATCTCTTTGAGTTTGGGACCAGCCTTGTCTACAGAGCGAATTTCAGGACAGGCTCCAAAGCAACACAAAGAAACCCTGTCTCCAAAAACAAAAACAAAAAGAGCACTGGCTGCTCTTCCAGAGGACCCAGGTTCAATTCCCAACACCCACATAGCAGCTCACAACTGTCTGTAACTCCTGTTCCAGGGGATCCAACAAGCTCACACAGACATAGATGCTGTCAAAACACCAATGTACATAAAATATAAATAAATTTTAAAAAGTGAATTGGCAAATGTCCACTGATAAAGAACATCTGTTTAATAGGATTACCACTCAGATAAGGTCCTCGAGGACCTTGTAGCATGGCCTCCAGTCTCCGAGGTGGACCTAAAGTTTTGTTACAGTACATTGCTATTTTCCACCTGGAGACAGGGATCCGCATATCCCAGGATAGTCTTGAACTCTATGTAGCTGATGGACTTGAATGTCTGATCCTTCTGCCTCCACCTCCAGAACGCTGAGATTCCAAGTGTGCCCCACTATGCCCAATTTAGTCAGTGCTGGGGGCTCTAACCTAGAGCAGGCTGGGCAAGTGCTCTACAAACTGACCACATTTCCCAGCCAATTTCCATTTCTTAACTGGAAACCAAGAGGTTTCATCTGACCTCAAGGGCAGTCACACAGCAGAAAGCCATCTCTGTGACTAAACAAGGAAATTAAAGCCTCGTCTTCAAAGCCTCGCGCAGAGGAAGAATACCTCTGGTGAAGTGGCGTAAGATCCCAGAGGTCTCTGACCCTGACTGCTTCAGCTGGCTCAGCCACCCTTTCTATGGAGTTAGAGGTCTAGTACTCTCTCCACATAGTAACCTGTGATTTACCCACCTCCGTCCATCTACAGACTAGTTTCCAGCCCAGTAAACAAACAGCAACTGTATCTGGTCTCCCACAGAGCAATTACAGAACAAATGCTTAAGTACAGGTCTGGAGACCTCGCAACTCAATGGCCCCAGCTCTTAAGGCTCTTGAAGTCCACCTTCCTGCCTTTTCCCAAGACAGGCGGCCACCTCACCCGTCTCCTTCCACTACAGCCTCTTTTAGCCTAGAAATCTCTATCTTGTGCGATGGAAAACCCTGGTAATACAACCGAAAAATACTAGTCAGTGGCCATGAAGGCTAGTTTGGGAGCTGCCATCAGAACTTGTTACAGTCACCGACGTGCAAAGATGGGGTAAGAGTCCTAGACCTGGGTTCACTTCCTGAACCCACATGGAGGCCTACAACAGGCTAGAACTCCATCCCAGGGAATCTGACGCCCTCTTCTGGTTATCATGTGCACAGCACACAGTGCACAGACTGGTGTCAGAAAAACACCCACATACTTTTTTTTTTTTAAGTACAAAACAAATAGGTGAGGGTTTTTTGTTTTTGTTTTTGTTTTTGTTTTTGTTTTTGTTTTTGGAGGGGGGTGGATTTTTTGAGACACGGTTTCTCTGTGGCTTTGGAGCCTGTCCTGGAACTAGCTCTTGTAGACCAGGCTGGCCTCGAACTCACAGAGATCCACCTGCCTCTGCCTCCCGAGTGCTGGGATTATAAAGGCGTGGGCCACCACCACCCGGCTCATAGGTGAGTTTTTTGTCATCCAGATCTTTTACTTTAATGTCACTGTGCATGCCACTTGGCCCCAAGAATTTGAAGAACCGCTGCTTTGGAACAGTGAAGCATCCTGGGGACCGGCTTGTTCACCTAAAATAAAAGGACTGGACCAGTTTTTAAACTTTCCAAGGGAGTCCTGGTATTCCCTGGGATGCTTGAGATTTATCAGTGGGGGGTAAGGCGGTAATTCTTGAGTTCTTTTCTACGCCTCACATTTGTTTTTACCAACTACTCACAGTGTGGCTTCTTTTCATGAAAGTTCCTTTGCTATAGGGAGGCATCCAGGTAAGCCTTAAAAGCCAGTCTTAAAGATTTTCCAGCTCCTTTGCCAAAACTGTGAGTTTTGCTGGACCTGGTGGCGCACACCTTTAATTCCAGCACTCAGGAGGCAGAAGCAGGCCAGTCTCTTAGAGTTCAAGGCCAGCCTGGTCTGTGTAACAAGTCCAGACCAGGCAGAGCTACATGGTAAATCACAGTCTTTAAAAAAAGAAAAGGTTTCTCTAGATGAACAGAAAGAAAAAGAAAAAAAGAAAAAGATTCAGTTGTTGGTTTTTTTCAAGACAGAGTTTCTCTGAATAGTCCTGGTTGTTCTGGAACTCACTCTGTAGACCAGGCTGGCTTGAATTCACAAAGAATCACCTACCTTTGACTCATGAGTTCTGGGACTAAAGGCATATGCCACCGGGCTAAAAATCTCCCTTTTCTGCACTCACTAATGAAACATTATCTGAGAGACTAGAAAGGGTCAAAGGTTGCACAACAGGCCTGTAAAGGCCACCAAAGAGTCTCCCAGCACATGCTTACTTAAGAAAGGGTGACTTAGAAGGCAGCTATCTGCCTGGCCAGAAGGACTCAAAAACAACGCTTCTCCATTTACAATCAGTCATAGGCCCTAAAATCATGTCTGCGGAGAGCAGCAGGCTGATTTCCACAGCTGTGTTCTCTGCTAGGCAATAGAAACCAGGATTGCTTTACTCCTTCAAGGACTTGGGCTCTCATCTGGTGCTGTGAGTTCCTCAGTGGCTCAGCAGCTATCCCACACTAGCCAGGTCTGGCAGAGCAAGCCTCATGCATCTGAACCCTGGGCTTCTCTGATCCACTGCTAAGAATACTGCTCAGCATGGGCTGCAAAGCACGGGAAGGCTTGGGGTGACCTTCCTGGCACTTCCAGAAAACATTCTCCTGTCTTTCAGGAACTCACCCTTACTCACAGAATAGTCCATTTAGGAGGGGATGACCCCGAGGCCCTGGCCATTTTGCGTCCATCTGCCAAGCACTCTGCCAGAGTGTGGTGCCACTAGCTATGGGGCTCTGGTTGGTTTTTAGTTTTAAAAGTTTCATGTATGATCACTAGTGTGTCTGTGTATGCCATGCCATGGCGTGCATGTGGAGGACATCTCTGCTGAGTTAGTTCTCTCCTTCCACCTTTATGTAGGTTCTTGTGATCAAACTCGGGTCGTCCGGCTTATGCAGTATCTTCGATCTGCTGAAGCATCTCAGCAGTCTAGCAGGCAGACACGGAGAATGGGGCTTAGCTCCAGCCCCATGACAGCCATCAGCAACTGCATGTGTATCAACTAGGAACCCACAGCCTAGAACCAGCCCTGATTAAGAGCACTCACTGCTCCTGCAGAGAGCCCAAGGGCCATTCCCAGCACCCATGCTGGGTAGCTACAACCACCTGAAACTCCAGTTCCAGAAGATGTGACACCTTGCTTCCTCAAAATTGTACACCTGACACACACACACATGCACGCACGCACATAGTTTAAAACTGAAAAACACCAGGGGGTAGTGGAATACGCCTTTAATCCTAGCCTCAGGAGGAGAGGCAGGTGGACCCGAGTACAAGAACAGCCTGATCTACAAAGTGAGTTAGTTCCAGCAGAGCTAAGGCTACACAGAGAAACCCTGTCTTGGAAGAAGGGGGGAGGTGCTGAAGAGATGACTCAGTGGTTAAGAGCACTTGCTGCTCTTCCTGAGGATCTAAGTTCAGTTCCCAGCACCCACATGTCGGCTCACAACTACCTGCATAACTTCAGCTCTAAGGGGCTCTGATCACCAGTTTTGGCCTCCCTAGGCATCCATACACAAATAGCATACAAATACACATATACAGAGATATTCACAAATTTTTTAAAAAAGAAAATAAGACAAGGTTACTTATTTATTATTATTTATTTTCATATACAAAAAGATAAAACTTGAAATAGTTCTAGATTTTTCCTCCTATTCTGTTGGGGGGTGTGGCTGCTCCTTCACACAGGGGGAAAAACTACATTCACATCGGTTTGTTTGAGGACCCAGTGCAGAATTCAAGCAGCAAAACCCCAACTTAGCAGATCTAATTTCAAACTTGACACTCATTTCTAAAATTACCACAGGAAAAAGGAGCAAAGATTCACTGCAAATGAATGAACTATGATACAATGTTCTTTCCAAAATGTTTGCATTTTGCAACTGTAGTTACATGGATGTCTGCTTCAGGCCATTATTGGTGTGTGTGTGTGTGTGTGTGTGTGTGTGTGTGTGTAATATATATAGATATATATAAATCAGCACACTTTTCAAATCCAGACAGGGTAACAGCAACAAGCTTAACTCTGCATATATATATATATGTATATATATATTTTTTTTAAGACATGATACTTTAGTATAACTTTTGTTAATTCAGTAGTACAAGCTATTTTCTGATCTACAAAATGTCTGTTTTATAGCTACAAGGGTGGAAAGTGTCCCACTACATTTACACCCCACATATTCTGGCAAACAAACAGTACTCAATCGAATTGGAGCCCCAAACTAGAAGTTTTTAGTTTCAGTACTTGAGAGAGCTTCCTCACGTCTACAGCCTGAAATCACAGACTAGTCACACTTCCAGACTTTGCAATGACTCGTCATTTTAAACTGTAAGAAACAGATGAATCCAAACTTTTAATTACAATTCATATATACAAGTTAGATAACACAGCTCAGTGAGACTTAGCTACCATCCTAAGGGCAGCACACACACTCTCCACTAAGTTAGACAAGTCTTAAGTTTTTTTTTCTTCCAAATAATGTACAAATCTAGAAGTAGCTGGTAAAACTGATATATAAGATGGTAAATAAAAAGTGACATTTTCTGTTGGTTCCGAAACTGCCCCTGTGAAATTCGATGCTCTGCTGTACTTCCAACTCACTGTCTGTCACGTGCCAAATGCTCTTCTCCATGGGAATGGACATCAAACTCGACGCAAGGTGAGTTTGCACAACACTGAGACAGATTCAAGGGCAGATGTGGAAGAAGAGCAGCAGGTGAAAATGTGGCTCTAACATCACCGTGGGGACCGTGTCGCGCTCATAATCAGATTCTCTCGTACAGTGGAAAAATGGCATCGTGTGGATTTGTGTCATGGCACTGAAATCTCCAAGTCTGTTCTAATCTGCAGTAACCCTCGCCTTCAGTTCTCAAGTACCGCCCAATTGTCTTTGCATTTTTATAGAATTCTGGAAAAGAAAAGTGAGGGAAAGCAAGCCGCTGGCATTTTAATAATTACGCTCTTGGTGGGCCTAGCATTTCAAATGAGGTCTCCTGCCCACGTGACAACTGCTTGCTCCCAGGCGGCCTCTGACAACTTGTGTTTCCTACTCTGGTCTCCGTCACACTTTTCCCTTATGGAGAAATTATTTGGCTAAACTCATACACTTCACTCGTGGCAGTGCTCTGGGAAAACCCCACTAGGGCTAAAGCACTTGCAAGGACTGAGGTCAGCAGTCCGCTAAGCAGGGCAGACACCAGACACCCGGAGGGCTGAGTTGAAACCCACCAGGTACACGCTGACCCTAGTGTCCCATGGTCAGCGGGACAGCAGGGCGGCCCAGGGCAGGCAACTCATGGCTGAGTTACTACTTTTATTCTCACCCTGCCGCCTGTGCCCCAGAGACAAAAATTCAGATGTGATGACAGCTGGTTAATTAAGCTTTTTGAACTGGTAAAAAAGGCTCTTTAAAAAATATATATATATATTTATTTAAAATACATCAAAATGACAAGCAGCCATATCCCACAAGGCCTAATTCCACAGCAACGTACACTACAGACATCTTCCCAGAACGCACTGTGGCAGTGGACAGGGGTGGGGGTGGGGCTTCTACCCTGCTGTTTGACGGAATGTTCTAGGTCTGAGCTCTGGTGACTGGAAATGCGGGCATTACAAAGAGCTCATCTTTGGAGCTCATTTGCGTGTGAGACCAGCCAGTTAGGTTGCTTTGCCTATTCAGACACATGAGAATACTGAACACGGCAGAATGCACAGGACACAGGAAGCACCGTTCGGATGACACGCCCAACCAGTCCCACCGCAGCGCCAGGCCAGGCTTGCCAGGAGCCCCCGGGTCCATTTGGGAAGAGTTTTATTTAAAACGAGGCAGTGCCACACTCAGTGGGCCTCCTGCACGTGTGGTAAGAGTCGGCAGTCATCAAGAGAGCTCAGGCGGTGACACCGTTCAACATGAGGTCTGAGGTAACCGGTTCTTAAAGTACCCGGATCACACAAGTGCATCCAGAAATTAGGGCTAGAAAGGAAGGCTGGGAAGGGGCGGGGGCTAGAGAGACAAGTAGAGAAAGCTTACTGCAGTTGCTTTTGGGGGGTTAGTGACAAACCAAGGCACAACAGAATTACATTCCGAGACAGGCGGCTGGAGAGCACAGAAGTCTTTTATGGGGAACAGAAGCAGGGGAGCTGGCTTCCAGAATGCAGCTAGAGCTGGGAATAAGTGTCCCCAGCAGAAAGGGGATAGATAACATGTAAAACAACATTCTAAACCAACCAGGATGAACAGAGACCACGGCTGGCTTGAAACAACACACTAAGGCTCTCTTAGCAGGAGCACCCATCCAGTGTTCTCTAGGGCAGCAGGCTGTAGCCAGCAGGCAGGGTGTGGGGAAGAAGTCTTCGGTTGGACCTCAGGACTGGCCACGGGCCATGATTTAGCTGAATTATCCACCTCCCCCGTCCCTATGCAAAGTCCCACCCACTCTCTCCCCAAAATCAAAAGTTGAGATGAAGGCTGCCTAAGCCTTGCCAGAAACCCTCTGTGGGCATCTGAAAGACACCCCGCTCTGAGACTGGGGTACTGAGCTTCCTCTGTTGGTTCCTGCTTCACAATAGAGCAGAAAGCAGCCCTGATCAAAAGAGAAAAACTGTGCCTGGGAACCCTCCACTTAATTCTTTCATTAAATCCATGAGTCCCACGGTTTCCAAAGAATTACTCAGTATGGTCCTAGATGGTTCTGGTTAGTGATCTCAGGCCACCAAATCCCATTTGAATGTTTTCTATGGCCCAAATCTTTCTCTAGATGCGTCCCTCACAGCTCTGTGCTACTGCTTCCAAACCCAGTCAGGTGAGTACCTTCTATGTAAGGAGCAGACCCAAACCCAGTCACGTGACTACCTTCTACGAAAGGAACAAAGTTTCAACCTCAGAACCCCTTGTTCAGCATAAATCAAACCCACTACAAGCTCCTCCCTTCGCCTGGCCACTGTCCCCTCCACAGGCAGGGAGCAGGACTGAGACCTCACTGCCCTGTGAGTGGAGCTTGGGCCACGGGGACTCCGGGCTGCCAGGGTATTCAGGAATCCATTTAAGCGCTAAGCTCCAGCCCTCGTATTCCAGTGTGCGCACGATCCTGAAAGTAAAGCTCATCGGCTTGGATTACAGAAGCGTTCTCACCCCGACTCACTAGTTTATAAAAATAATCTGTATTACAAAACAATCTCCACACTGTGTGGAGGCGACTGTCACGTGACAGAACTAAATAGGTGGGTGGAGCTACGGACTTCATAAAGGAAAACTTCAAGTGACGTCTCTTAATAGAACTACTCTTATTTACAACACTATCTAACAACACTGATGCAGAGTGGTGCGGAGTCAGGGAAGGGGCCCGTGCGACAAGGGTGGGTGCCCCAGAACTCGAGGCAGTATTTGTTCACTCACAAAAAACCCACCTTTGCTTGCCCCTCCCCACCAAAAAACTAATGGGGTCGCTCGTCTCCTAACTGTAAACTCTGTTCCGACGGCAGCCGACGCTAACTCAGCCTAGCCAGGCCACGGACGGAAGCCTGGAGAAGAACGAGAGACTGTGCAGAGCCCATTACCCCACACTGGCGCTTTAATTCTCGAGGGAAACGAGGTGTTTCTGTGGATGGGGAAGTGGCGCTGGTTGGCCTGGGCACTAAGGAGACAGGCATAGCACCGCAAGTGCAAAGTCTTCCTTCCTTCACACCTGGAAGACGCCAGCATGAAAATGCTAAACTTGGTTTAGAAAAAAAGATGTAGGCGTTCCCGATCTCAGTTCAAATTGTCAGCCCAACAGTAATTTATAGTAATCGCAAAGAACTCCAAATAGCAATATCCCAATAGCCCGCCAAAGAACTTGGGCTGATTTATTGATTGAGCTAATTTTTTAAAATGTGTTGGAATCAACTAATTGATTCCCAAGGAAGTGTTTTAAACTTAATTTAATGTTCTATAAAACTAAATCATTATCCCAAAACACTTCCCTAACCCTCCCAGAGGTCTGGGGTACATTCCCAGTAGGATTGCTGGCTACAGAGCTACCCAGAAGCACACATAAAGAACTACGCATTAAATCCTGGATGCATGGAAAGTTTAGCATCTAAACTGTAAAGGACTGAACTACTCGGCCTACTTACCTAAAACAATGTTAGCTGGGATTTAAGCTCAACACCAGGCCAAACTAGCCAGCTGCTGACTACGTCTCAATTTCGCCTTTACAAAGCCAGTAATGAAGGGGAGGTCACGTCACCCAAGCTGAGAGGAAAGGGACACCTTGTCGTCACCCTTTCTGGCCGTTTCCCCAGTAGTAGAAGGATGGTTGAACGGCACACAACACTTCCGGGAAAGGTGTCGCCTGCTACCCCTGAAATGTGGGCCAGGCTGGATCACCTCTCCAGACGCGTCACCAAGTCCGAAAGGATGAAACAGGCGATGCTGAGGCTCAAGCTGGATGAAACTGCCCTCCGATCCGGGGACACATCTAACGAGTCACATTCTTGAGAACAGTGGCAGGAATTCAACTATAGTACAGTGAGCTTTTGCTGTATTAATTATTTAGGAAAAACAAGACATCCTCCTACCCAGCAGTATACACCAGGAACTTCACACTAAAAATGTAAACTCTGTGAGAGTGAGAGAGCCAGCCAGTCCTCTGGCCCTGGGTGGAACAGTCACTTCTTTGCCTAAGCGGCTAAGCATAGGAACCACCACATGTCAGGCTTTCTGAGCCAAAACGCATGGCAAACATTAAATAGATGTAGGCTGGCCACCAAGAAAATTCCTTCATAAAGCCCAAGGCCTAGGACAGAGTAGCAAGAAAGAGAGGGTCACGGGTGTTGTCCAGGCAGGAAGGGAGGACAGAGTAGGGTGGCAGGATCATACACTATGCTTGAAGTACCAAGCCTTGTCAGGAAGGCTGGCCCAGCTGCACCCAGCAAGCACGGTAGCCTCGTGATGAGAAGTAGCTCTGCCCTTTGCTGTGGAGGTCTGAGCAGAAGGGCCAGCACGTCCCCTTGCATCTAGTGTTGGGGGCACCAGGCCAGCCCATGTTAGCCCAGACGCTGACGGCTGTCTACGCTAACGGCTGTCTATGGTCTTCCTTGCCGTCTTCTGCAGAACCCCACGACATGGCAGCCCTGCCTTCATTTGCTTTGTCCTCCTCTGACACAGCCACAGAAGTCTCTGGCAACGGATGACTGCCTGTTATCACAGGGATTTTCAACCAGAACATTCTCTGCCAAAGCCCACAGCCACGGGAGCCTATCTGGACCACAACATGCAGTGAAGGGAAAAGAAACTCTCTAGCTGGTTCTCTCCTGACTGATCTCATCCCTCTGAACACACGGGGACCTCCGCTGTCTTCCAGAAGCTTAGGGACAGGGGACTCGAAGGAAAGTGGCATAAAATCTGTGAGAGAGATGGAGAGAGAGAGAGAGAGAGAGAGAGAGAGAGAGAGAGAGAGAGAGAGGGAGAGAGAGAGAGAGAGAGAGAAACAAGGACCACCCTGGAAAATGACCTAGCTCCCAGCCATGAGCAACTGGGCGTGTTACCCAAAGGTGGTCTCCAGCCCCTACTCACAGACACCACCACCCTGACTCTCCCTTGTCCAGGCCATACCTAACAGGTACCCCCTCGTGACACTCCATTCTGGTGCAAAGGCCTGACGAGGACACTGTTGTGGCTGGACACAGGGTCAGCAAAGTGGGAAGCCACCCCCAGAAAAGGTATCAGGCCTGCCCTGACTGGGATGTTCCACACCAGAGCTCAGCCAGGCCAAGATGCTTATGACAAAACCAAGCCAGCACACGAGAGAAAAACACCCAGGGTCACAAGAGCACACGGGGATCTGGGTTTAGTGTTTGGCACAGTGTGTGACTGGTGACGGGGTTACTCCCGCAGCGAAGGATCTACATTGCTTAGTGGTTTGTTTGTTAAGGGTCAAGAGTAGAGCTCTCCACTGCCTGAGGAGAAAGCTAAAGAAAGCAGATATGGCACTTTCAATAAATAGTTAAAGCTTCTTAAAGAAATAGGTGGAAAGGAAAAGCAACTGCTGTAAGACCTGTTTCGCTAGGAAAAAGGTATTCTGAGAGAAGGAAATCCCAAAGCACAAAATCAGGCGGGGGAGGAGGGGTCACACATAGCTCACACAAAGTCCATGCCCCCCTAACTACCTGGCCAGCCCACAGTGATCCACAGAAACGAAGACCAAGGTCTGAGAGGGAAGTCATCTGGCCTTCCTCAGCACCCTGTACAAACACCCACAGAAAAGAAGAAGCCCAGGCTGCCCTGGGCACCACGCACCTCATGCTGAGGGGAGCAGCCCAGCTGGGAGCTGTGCCCCCCCAGACTTCACAGCATAGTCACAGGCATGCAGAAGGAATTAACTCTCCTGTGCTACCTCACACGGGCCTGAGGGCTGTGGTTCTGCCGAGTTAAAGCAGGGGTGTCATCCTGAATACTACCCAGGGGACTTAAGGATCAATACCTGGCCCTCTAAGCAACCCGGGAGGAAGTGGCCTACCCTCAAGACAGAGATGTGCTGTTTAAATCCGGTCTAAGCCAGCGGGACGCACGCCCAGACGGCTCAGCCGACCTACAGCTGACGACTGCTATTTACAGGGAGCTTCTAGCAAACAGATTGGTAGTGCTGGCGAGAAGACACAAGCTTTTTTTTCTTCTTCTCTATTTCTTTTAAACTTCCTTGTCATAAAAGCCAACTTACATTAAAATATACTTCCTACAAGACAACACAACTAACAAAATATATAATTAATAAAACGTACACAAGTAGAAAATTCTGAGGTATTTCTGGTTTGAGGTGGTCTGTGGTCGTGAAGTTACTTCCTTTACATTTTAAAATTTAAACCTCGGAAGCCACACAGCAAAGGATGTATATATATGTGGATGTCTGTGTTCTGTCTGAAAAAAAAAATTTAGCATGTTTCATAAATAAAAAAAAAATTCCAATGTCGAAACAGCAGCATTAGGAACATTCACCGCCTGGAGCAAGGTTATGGCGTAAGAGAAAACAGTTTTAGAATATGCACCATGCACCGCTTTAAAGGGTCCAGAGAAAGCTGTGTCCAGGAGCCTCAGACAGGAGCCAATAATGCCTCTGCATGGGGCCAAGCCAGAGCTGTAGGCCAGCAAGGCTCCCACCCAGGGATCCTCTGGGCCACTCACCCCGTGCAGTGGGCGCCACAGGCATCTCCCCAAACTGCCAACAGGAAACTGCAGTTCAGTATCTCCTCCATGAAAAAGATCCACAGCATCCATCTTGTCTAATGAAGAATGTCCACTAAGCTGTAATGCCCCCACCTAGTCTTAAGACGCCAGCAAGGTAGTATTTCCTCCTGTGGGCAAGCCCAAGTTAGTGTGAAGAAAACGGGCAGGTGGGGCAGCCTGGCCCCGCTCCTGGACGTTCCCCAGACCCTGCCTGTGCTTGCTATTATTACTGCTCGGCCCCCAAAAGGACCTTGCCCTCGATCCCTTGTTACCTGAGAAAACAGCCTCCACAGCCAAGGGTGTTGCTCCAAATGTGCCCAAGTCCAGTGTAGCTCTGCTCCCAACCCGCCCCAGAAACATCCTCCCTCCCAACTTCGGACTAAACCACCCTCCTCATCTCAGTTCCCCTCTGCTGGGTCAGGATGACACCCATCAGATTCATGGAGACACATCTGCCATTTCTTAAGCTCACTGCCTGAAAAGGGAGAAACACAAAATAAGGGGGTGGGGGACCCCTCTTCTGAGCAAGGGTATGTTCATGTAACAGTCTTCAAAGGTTCCTCTAGTAGAGATTGCAGCATTGAGTTTCCTAGGACAGGAGAGGGGTTTCTTTGTGTTACAGATGCTGAGACGACACAGAGAACGCTGGGGGAGACAAATCCCGAAGGACAGGAGGTGGCTGAGGCTCTTCAGCACGGCGCTGGTTCTGCATTCACAGCTCAGCACCTCAACGCCTGCTGACGTGTCCGCTGTTTGCAATACAGTAGAACAAGATGCTGGTAAAAACTGATCCAATCCAAAAATAATATTATTAATAATAATTATAATAATAATAAAAGTCAAGGTAAAATAGCAGCTGCATTTTATGTGTTTGTTGGTTATATGGGATTTCCAAAACAAAACACAACTTTTTTCCTTTTTTCTTCAGATCCACTGAGTCTGGAGAGACACTCGTATCCTAGGCTTAGATGCTGGACTCTTTAGGGGGCAGGTCCACATTGGTGACGGAGGTCACCAGAGAGACTAGACAGTCCGAGGTAGTGCCGTTGACCGACCTCCTGATGAGAGACACCCGCTCTTCTACGCAGCCCGCAGAAAGGCGAGCCTCTGCATCATGGTCCCAGCACTCCTCAATGGTCACACAGAGCTGGGCCAGGCCCTGCAGAGCGGAGGGAGGGAAGAACCCTTGTTATGGCAGCAAGTGACGATGTGTCGGGATCAGACACAGCCATTGCAGGTCAATTAGAAGGCTACAAACTGCAGGCCCCCATAGTCCTGCCCTCCCATCAGTCACCCCACTGAGTCCAGGCCTCCCTTAGAGACCCACAGAACTGTTCACTAAACTTCAACACAGGAAGAAGAGGAACTCCTGTTCCCCCGGAGCAACTGCAGCTGCTAGCCTTGGAGCACTAAACTCAAATCAAATTGTGCACAAAGTCCAAACACAAAGGCCCAACATTTAGCAATTGGGCCACTGCAACTGGTTCAAATGGGGACAAAAAGGAGGTCAGGGTCTACCTTATTCCCCACAACCTCAGAGATACATCCCTAGGGTCCAGGGAACGTGGCGGCCCTTCCTCCACCCCCACAGTCTCCTGAAGCCCGCTCCCTCACCGGATGCTTCAGCCAGTGATCCTTAATGGTGGGCCGCATCTTCTTGTGGACAACCACCTCCTGCAGTTCTTCCAGCGAAGGGTGCTGGCCAATCTCCTCCTCAAAGGGCAGCATGTACTCATCGACAGGCCCTGGGAAGTGAGAGGCTGGTGAGATCGCCCGACGTCCAGCTCCCAGTCCCCAGCCAAGGATGACAGGGTTGCCACCCACTCACCGTCTGCAGCCTTGCAACGAGAAACAAGCTCCCAGAGCACCAGCCCCATAGCGTACATGTCGATGCGCAGGAACGCGTCTCTCTGGAAGTTGATGGCTCCCTCCAGCACCTCAGGGGCCATGTACCGTCTCGTGCCAACCTACAGGAAGACAAAGGAGAACAGGGTCTCCAGAGACCAGCTACACTCAAATACATACTCAGCTGGGAGAACCCAGCCTGTGTACACCAGACCAATTAAGACAGAGTCAAAGCACAAAGTCCTGCTCCAGAGTTAAGATCATAGCTGATGATTACTGTAAAAACACCACAAAGTGGAGACAGTACTGACGAACTAGCTACACAGGTCCCAGAACATCCCGACAAGCTACTCCAAGGCTTTGTGCTCTACTGAGATTACTACCTAAAGTAAAGCCAGGCACTCAGAAGGTGAGGCAAGAGAGCCAAGTTCCAGCCCCGCCTGAACAACACAGAGACCCTCTAATAAACAAGGAGATGGAGAGATGGCTTAGCTCCTGTGGCACTTGTCACTCAAGTATGAAACGGAAGTTTGGATATCTAAGGACCCACATAAAGCGGCTTGCCTGCAACACCAGTGCCTGGAAAACAGAGTCGAGGTCCCCAGAGCTAGCTGGCTAGACTGACGCAAGAGATCCCGGTTCAAGGGAAAGATCAGCCGTCATATACAAGGGGGCGGGTGATCAAGCAAGACACCCAGCGACTACCTCAAGCTTCCACAAAACTGACCCCTAAATAAAACATGCACACACACACATACACACTAACATGCACGCACGCACATACACACATACATACACATACACACACATACACATATGCACACAAACACATACGCACACCACACACACACACACACACACACACACACACGAGAAATGTATTTTTGAAAAATAAGTAATTACAATAGAAAAAGACTGAAATACAGGAGGAGTGGCCGAAGCCCAAATGGGGAGCCTGGATTGCTCAGCTGCCTGGTCGGAGGAAGCTTCGCCAACCTCCAGGCCTTGGTTTCCCCGCTGGTAAGACAAGAACCATGGTTCTCTGAGTTCCCAGGTAGCTCCACAGTGGCTCTGGCTGAACGCAGGAGCAACAGTCCTGTGCTGGCTCCTAACTCCGGCTGTCCAGACTCCTTACCTGCCCATGGGTGTCCCCTGGGGGCTTCCCCGGCTCAAACCGAACAGCCAGGCCAAAGTCTGCCAGCACAGCAGTGAGGTCACTCTTCAGCAGGACATTCTTGCTTTTGAAGTCCCTGTGGAGGCCCAGAGTCTAGCTGAAGCTCAGCATCCACACCCAGGCCACCATGAGCGTGATGGATCAGGGCCCTCCGCCCACCATGGCTCTCACAGCACTAAAGCTTAGGCTTGCAACTCCCAGCTTAAACCATCCCCAGCTCTCCGGGGGAAGGAGGCAAAGCTGCTTGGGAGTCCTGTACCGCCATCTCCAGAAGGCTTCTGCCGGAGCCTGCAGAACAGGCTGTGGTGGCTGGGCAGATCCTAAAAGTCAGCCCAAAGATTCTCAGAGGATACGGCACACGAGTCTTCGAGAAGTTTTCAATGTTTGGAAAGGGACAAGAGTCTAAAAGCAGCTTGCCACAGCTGCACGGCAGGGCAGAGCAGGAGAGTGGGCGGGCTCAGCTCTGCCCTGATTCAGGGTCCTCAAGCCCTCAGTCTCCCCAGCTTCTCTCCCAGCCTGGCTGTGAGGATTAAACTGAAGACCACACAGATGCTTCAGGCCAGCCCGACACTTACTAGGCACTGCTGCTACGCTGAACTACGTAAGCCAGCGCCAACCTTTGCCACACACACAGCCTTCTCTGTCACTACTGTCCACACCATGGGGAGCCCTTCAGCTTTGAAGCCAATAGTCAACAGGGTGGCTCATCCCTGCCTCAGTCACAGGGCCAGACTGAAGTCGCTCTGGGGCCTTGACTAAGCTGTAGTCTCTGTGCTATTACTCCACCACCTCTACAGGGGGCTGACAGAGACAGCTTCACCTCACCCAACTGGAACACGGTTCAGTGAGGTGAACCCTTGAGTGTTTGGAACAGCTACTGCCAGAGTCTTTTTTGGGGGATAGAGGGGATGAGAAGGGTCTCATTGTGTGGCCTTGGTTGACCTGGAATTCTCTGTGTAGAACAGGCTGGCCTTGAGCTCACAAAGCTCCACCTGCTTCTGCCTCCCTAGTGCTGGGATTAAAGGTGTGTATTACCCAGCCTGGCCCCAGTGAGTGCCATTTAATAGCACACAACAGTGCCAAGTTAACTAGGTGGCTCTTAAGGTGAGATTCAAGGCTGGCATGATGGCTCATGTCTATACACCTAGAGTCTGGAGGCCGTGGAGTCATGAGTTCAAGGATAGCCTGAGCTATATAGCGAAAGTATAAGTCAAAAAAAAAAGGATGGCCGAGTGGTGGTGGCGCACACCTTTAATCCCAGCACTTGGGAGGCAGAGGCAGGTGGATCTTGGGGTTCAAGGCCAGCCCAGTCTACAAAGTGAGTTTTAAGACAGTCAGGGCTACACAGAGAAACCCTATCTCGAAACACACACACATACACACGGGAGGGGGGGGATGGCGGATGGCGGATGGCTCAGAAATACTAAAAGATACTAAGACAGTTTTAAGAGCCCTGTACCATTTCTGTTAATAACCTATCTTTTGCCTTTTTAAGCTCATCCCGGGAGTAAAATGCCATCGTCATTATACATAACCAAACACATGAGCTATACCAGCAAGCATCAGCAAACAAACCTACACAGATTAGATAAATAAAGTTCTTTTAAGGATACAAAATGCTCTTGACCAACATCTGAGAACTGGAAAGGCCAGGTCTCCTAAGCAAAGGAGTCAGCACTTCCTCGTGTGCCCAGCAGAGGGCTCCAGAACACTGGCCTGGAGAGCTAGCTATCCCGGCACACAGGAAGGCCAGGTTTGCTCTGACACACCACAGGACGGCACCTCTGGTTTCCAACACTAGCCCTCTGAGTAACCCAGCACAAGTGCAGGAAGAGCTCCTTAACCCAAGTACCTGTGGGCAATAGAAGGCTTGTGGCCCTCGCCACGGCACCAGGGCACATCCTCGTGCAGGTACGAGAGGCCTCGTGACATTGTCTCTGCCACATGACACAGTTCGTTCCAGGTGATGATGTTCCCCTTGAGGTAATCCGTGAGGGAGCCCTAAAAGAAGGCAGCACAGACTGTGGGCAAAAGCTCCAAATGCAGGACAAGAGGCAACCCAACCCAACCTCTACAAAAATGCAGAGTGGGCAGAGTGATAATTCTTGCCACAGAAAGTGGCCCAGAGTGAGAGGCGCACCTGGTACAGGGGTCACCTGACCTAATTACAAAACCGCCTTGAGACCTATCTGTCCCGCTGGGGTCTTTCCGGCGGGTGTAGCTCACCTTGTCGTGGAAGGCTGTGATGAGCCACAGCTCCACCTCCAGGTTGGAGCCTCGCTTCTCGGCAGCAATGAACTGCAACAGGTTCTCGTGCTTCATGCCTGGCGTGCTGAAGATCTCCCGTTCGCTCTGCCACGACTGCTTGTCCTGCGGCAGGGAGGCAGCTCAGTCCTGCCCCTCGGAGCCCCACAGCAGTATAGCCACCCAACACATCCGTCTCCATGCCCCACCTCAGCAGTTTCAAGACACATCTAGAGAACCAGGCCAAAGGCAAGCCCTGAGGAGGCTGACGCCAGCACCCCGATTTACAAGTGGGACCACAAATGCTGATGGAGGTACCCAGGGCCAGTCAGCAAGCACTTGATTTGCTAAGCGTCCTGGGCAATAGCTACTTGGGTTGCCTGGTGTCTGAAGCCTCTGAGATCATAAAGTCAAAAACCAAACTCATGGCCTGGAGAGAGAACTCAGGAGGTAAAGTCCTGCTTGACAAGCACGAGACCCAAGTTCGGATCCCCAACAGTTACACGCCTTTAATCCCAACACTTGGGAAGCAGAGGCAAGCGGACCTCTGTGAGTTCAAGGCCACTGAGTGCAATGTCAGCCTAGGTCCCCAGTGTTGGAAGCAGAGATGGAGGATCCTTGGGACTTGCTTGCCAACTGGCCTATCCAATCAATGAGCCCTGGGCTCAGTGAGAGACCTTGTCTTGAAAAAAATTAAAAAGTAAGAGGCTGGAGAAATGGCTCCAAGGTTAAAAGCACTGGCTGCTCTTCCTAAGCACCCAGGTTCAATTCCCAACGCATACATAGAGGCTCACAACTGTCTGTAACTCTGGTCTCAGGAGTCCAACACCCTCTTCTGGACTCCACAGGCAACAGGTATGTATTGGTAAGCACAGATGCATGCAGACAAAACACCCATACACATAAAAATAAATACTTCTTATTAAAAATAAATAAAAATGTGTAAAAGGCAGAGAGCCAGGCATGGTGGTACACACTTTGAAGTCCAGCACCGGAAGTGGGAGTGGAGGCAGGTAGGTCTCTGTGGGTTCCAGGCCACCAGGACTACACACTGAAACACTGTCTCGGAAAAAAAAAGTGGGTGCGATCAAGGAAAAACTCAGTGTCACACTCCAGCCTCCACATACAGACCTGTGCAAACATAAACATATAAACCACATATACAACATGGAAGTAATAGCGAAACCCAAAACCAACATGGGTCAAAGTTTGGCAGAGCCTGACCCTGACTCCAACGTGGACCACAGCGAGAGAAGACGGCCTGGACACTCACCTGGAGTGGGAAGATCTTTACAGCCACAAAGTCATTCATGAGCTGAGCCTTCCAAACGCAGCCAAAGCGACCCCGAGCCTTGACCTCCAGCAGCTGCAGTGGCTTCAGGCCCACCAGAGGGGAAGGGGGTGGAGGTCCGGGGTCCTGGGAAAGCAAGGACTAAAAGGAGTCTGTCCAGCCGTCCCTCCTCCCTGCCCTGCCCCCACGCTGACACCGGCTCACCTCATGGACGTCCACGTGGCCGTAGGGAGGCTTGCGATGCCGATACATCCAGAAGGCCAGCAGGACAATGAGGGAGAGGCCCCCAATGGGCAGCAGCGAGTAGGCCAGTACCGTGAGCAGGGTGGGGGCTGTCGGGGGTGGCTCGTACGTGACTGGGGGGACACACGGAGCCCTGTGTCACACGGCCCACCCACTCCAACACTCCAGTAGGTCCTGCAGCTACTCCCACTGGCTCCAGGGCGCCCCACTTAGACCCCTCTTCCCACGGGCTCCTCACCTTCTGGGCCCCCAGGCTCCGGCAAGTGGGTGAAGCGCTCGTTGCAGAAGTTGCCTTCACAGCAGCAGAAGTACACCTGGGGGTTCTCCTCAGTGGCCACACACTCCTGCCTGAAGGCCCAGAGTCCACATTACAAACTCTGGCTCTCCTGGGCCCCTTCCCACAGACAGAGCAGCTCCCGGGAACACTAGCAAGCAGGGTGAACCCTCTTCCCTTGTAGAGCAACCCAAGTCTAAGAGGGACAGCCAGGCACAGACAGACACTGAAATACTGCCTGAGTTCAGGAGAGCAAATCCACCAGTACAGGGGCTTGGGATCCTGGGCACTGCCACAGAAGTCGTTTTCCAACTCAGGTACCCTGAGATCAGGGGGTGACCAAAGCACGGGTGGGCTTCAGCAGCGGGAACGCGCCCCCGCGTACCTGTCGTAGCAATTGAAGTCATCCAGCCAGCAGCCCTTCTTCACGAGTTCGATAGTGCCCGAGCTGTTGCGCCAGGAGGCGTAGCAGTGCAGCCGCTTGTCCTGCTCGCCCTCGCAGCGCTCCAGGCCGCTCTGGTTGGTGCGCTCTAACTCCCAGTTGGCGTTGTAGTAGATGCACTCCCGAGTCTCAGCCTCCCCACGCCCGGAACCTGTGCCCCAGAGAGGACAGAAGCTGAGCACAGGCCAGTGACTTGGAATTGGGCAATGACGACGTGCTGAAGGCACCAGGAGACGACACCAACCCACCCCTCTGCCCTGACACTGGACCCTTACCACCCATACCCAGCAGCTCTTAGGAAGACCAGGCTAGGGTTTTCTTCCTCCGTCCCCTGCCCACACCAGCCCATAATCACGCACCTTCCTGCACTCATTCTTGCCTGGTACGGCAGAACACCTAAGCTTATCCAAAAAGAGGAAAGCTCCCGGGGTCACCAAGGGACATTTTTCTCAGACAGGAGGGCTAAGCTGCAAGCACAGAGCAGCTTCCCAGCTGGGTTTGCCACACCCACCCACTCTTACACATTCTTTCCCCAACAGAAGTTTCATCCAGATAGCTGAACACTCCTCCACATAGCCTATTCACCCAATCCATCTATCTCGTCAACCCTACCAAGCAGCCACAGTGCCAACTGCTCTGACCACAATGACCCCATTAGACTTTGGGTGTGTAACCAAGAGCCAAAGAAGGCCAGCCCTGTCTTGGTCCCATGGGACCTCCCGACAAGGGAGTGGCATTTACTACCTCACTTCCAGAACCCTATGTGGAAACCCTAAAGGAAAGTGTATTACCTGGGCCCGTCTGCACCTCGACCCATCTGCACCCCAGCTTCCTCTAACTGCCACCAGACCTGAGGTTGGCAGTGTCCTAAGTTCCTGAGTTCTAGCACAGCTAGAATTCCAGGGTCCAGTGCAGAGGAGGGTCCTGGCTGGCTATTCATAGAGGAGTCTTCACTATAGCAGCTCAGGTCGGAGCCACTCCCCACCAGATCACAGCTCCCCACCAGAGTAGGGAGGCTCCTTCCAGGGCGTCCCAGACTTGGGCAAACAGCCAATCTCAAAGCGTCAGGCAGGACCCACAAGTTCAAATCGTACCCAATCGAATGGCAGTACCCAGCCTGGCCCAGATAAAAGGTCTCAGGATCCAGAACAGGGCTCAAATAGAGGTAGGCACTGGCCTCTCCCAACCAGGACCTCACTCACGGACACATGCGCTGGCGTCCCCAGTCAGGACTTTGTTCAAGCACAGGGCTTAAATCTGTGGGCAAGACTCTGAGGGGGAAAGAGTGCAGGCTTTAAAACAAAGCCTGAACAAGTGCCCGGAGCCTGGGTGGCACCTTTATTGCCCACATGCCCCAGGCTATGTGTGGAAGTAACTGGCAATGGAGCTAAGTGAAGTACCCAGTCCAGAGAGAGAGAGAGAGAGAGAGAAAGAGAAAGAGAGAGAGAGAGAGAGAGAGAGAGAGAGAGAGAGAGAGAGCTACTTCTCTCCAACCTGGAGTCTCACTGAACCAGCAGGGAGTTCCTGACATGTCCAAAAAGCGTGTGAGTAAAACAGCCCAAACAATCCCCAGGAGGAAGTGAGGCGTCGGTGCCACGAACACTTGGATGAGAAGCAGAAACTACTAATATTAATTATTTGTGTGTGTGTGTGGTTTTCTGAGACAGGGTTTCTCTCTGCAACAGCCCTGACTGCCCTGGAACTCACTCTGTAGACCAGGCTGGCCTCAAACTCAGAGATCCACCTGCCTCTGCTTCTGCTGGAATTAAAGACGTGGGCCACCATGCCCAGCTGAGAAGTAGAAGATTGTTAGTTTGTGTGTGTCCTCAGCCATTGCTTCCTAGATGCCCAGCTTCCCCACAAGACTGGAAAGCTGACCCCAAACAGATGGACAGAGCGCCATGGGTACACTGGTTAAAGAAGGACTCTGGAAAGAAGGGCTAACAAGGCTGGGTGGCCTCAATATGAAGCACTGCCCCTACAGACGCTGAGGACTGACCACAGGCATCATGGATGTGTGGCTCCATGAAGCCTAGGCTCAACCTCCAACTCCGGAGGGCATCCACCTCCACTATGACAGCTATCAGCTCCTTCTTCAGGGTCGGGAGTCACAGGGGAACAATACACAGAGGGGCCTGAGGCTGGTCTAGCGCCTCTCCAGGCTACTGTCAGGCAGGAGTCCCTCTGGCACTTCCTGGAAAGTCCACCCAAAGGCTCAGGATGTTACCTGAGCAACTGACCAGACCCCTCAGACTCCAAATCCTGCGCCGCAGCTTTGCCCGCTCTCCTAGCCACTCTGTAAGGCTGTGACTGACAGCCCCTGCCTCCTAGGGTTGTGGTGATCCTTCCAGTCCAGACCTCACACCAAGCCTGCCTGCGAGCTTTGCAGCCCATGTGACATTCCACACCCCTCCCACACCACACCCAGGCTACTGCCAGCTGGAGACCCAGGGGCCTCCCACTTCCTCTCTCCTCCCAGGCTCTCTCTTCACGCTCTCACACTGGCTATTTATAGCCCATGGCAGAATTCCAACCGCAAGGCCACCTAGCCTTTTAATAGTTGAAGGCCTCCCGCCCACACCCCCTGCAGTCAGGTCAGGAGTCTCTTCTACTGGCCCTGCCTGCTCACCCATCCCACCAGTCCCCAGGACCACAGCCAAGGCAGCTAGGGATGGGGAACCTGGAGGAAAAGGGTGGGTGAAGCTGGAACATAAGAACGCACAGCGTATGCGCACGAACACTGCGGGGGGGGGGGGGCAGACACTGGGGAGGAAAGCCCAATGAGAACCTACAGCTTACCCAGGAGCTGAGGGCATGGCTCAGTGGTTAAGAGCCCTTGTTTTTGCAGGGGACAGCATCCACCTGCAACTCCAGTTCCAGGGGAATCCAGTGCCCTCTTCAGGCCTCCATGGGCACTGCACACACATGGTACACATGCATGCAAAATAAAAATACTCAAAAAATAAAAATAATTTTTTTTTAAGAAAAATCAGGGGCTGGAGAGATGGCTCTGTGGTTAAGAGCATTGCCTGCTCTTCCAAAGGTTCTGAGTTCAATTCCTGGCAACCACATGGTGGCTCACAACCATCTGTAACGAGGTCTGGTGCCCTCTTCTGGCCTGCAGACATACACACAGACAGAATGTTGTATACATAACAAATAAATAAATATTTAAAAAAAAAAGAAAAATCAGGCTGATCTCTGTGAGTTTCACCTGTAGGTGTGTGCCATCCAGACACCCACCTGGCACTTAGCTAGCTCGTGCCACACCCTGAGCACCCTACAAATCACAAGAACCCTGAGAGGCCACCTCACAGACCCACCTCACAGGCGGCAGAACTGGTGTACAGTGGCTTTGCAGCTATTCCCTGAAAGTCCCATGCTTCAGAGCCACAGGCCTAACTCCACTGTCCTCCGGTTGGACCCTCGGGCTATGGATAGCTACACCACCTCTGTGGGCGTTTCCTCTCGCAAACTGTGAAATTCTTCTCCAGAATAGCTGCGCTGGTTTGTCAGCAGCTTCCCTGGTCAAGAGCCTCATCCATGCTCCCCTGTGACTCAGATAGCACCTGCCCGACTACAAACCTTTCAGGAGAACCATTCCCATTTCCCTCTGTGTGGGAAGGTTGGAGAGTGGCTCAGCGGTTAAGAGCATTGCCTGCTCTTCCAAAGGTCCGGAGTTCAATTCCCAGCAACCACCTGTAATGTCTGCTGGTGCTCTCTTGAGAAAGAGACCTGGTTAGACGTCCTCATTAATTTAAACCATGAAACCCAACATGGACAGGTTCAGTAGGACCACTGTAACACCTTGTATACTTCAGCATTGCCAGGGCATAAATTTCATTTTCACTTTTGAAAAGTCTATGTTCTTGGGAATACCCCATTTATAACTGCACACTAACCCCACCCCAGCTAGTCATATTGTCAAAAAGAAGGATGCGTGTCTGGTGCCAATGTCTAGGACATTTGTGTTTCCCCAGTTTATTTTCTACAATTCAATCTAATGCTTTCTTAAAACCAGACATGAGTTCTAGCACATTCATGATTTAATTTCTTTTTTTAATTCTTTTTTCCCTTCCAGTTCTGGAGATCAAACAGCATTTCACGCAAGCTAACAAGTTCTACTACTGTCCTGCGCTTAAATCCTTCGCTTAAAATATCCTGTGTGGCCACTCTGACCTGGAAAGGAAAGTTCCCCTCTAGTAAAGTGCCTCGTCTTTGAAGGGTAGCGCTTGGGCTGCAAGCCTGAGGTAATCAGCCAACCTACCATCTCTCTCTCCCTGGAAGACTGGTTTAACTCCAACACCTTTCAATTTTCATTAATATTTGATTCTCATGGGAATAAAATTTTAATGTTTTATATTCAGTATTTAGTATTTTTGCTGCCTGTATCCATCTCCAGAACATTATTTGCGGTTTATACAGCCAAGATTGCTTTTTGTTGCTATAACGGGATCTTGAGACTAGGTATATCAGCTACTTCAGGATTTATTCTGGTTTATCGCTTGAGGGAAGGAAGTCTGTAGGGATGCTTGCATCAGAGGCAGGAGTGTGAAGATGCTTACAGCAAGGGCAGGGGCATAAGGATGCTTGCAGCATGGGCAGAGGTGTGAGGGTGCTTGCTCACTGGGGTGGGTCAAGAAGTAGTGACAAGGCTTAGAAGTAGGGTTGCGCTGCCAAACCTTAAGGCCACCTTCAGTGACCCACTTCTTCTGGCTAAGCTGTGACTCCCAAGGGCTCCAGAACCGGTGAAAACAGCAGCACTAGAGAGCAGGAAACGGTATTCCAACACACAGCCTACAGGGGACAGCCCACACACCAAAACGCGGAGATTTCTTACTGTTTGGGGATTCAAATGTTATAAACGTTTTGCTTGGGTTTTTCTTTTTTTCCAGGATACAATCTTTATCTCTGGCTGGCCTCAGACCTGTGATCCTACCTTAACCTCCCTGGATGAGTTGTGTGCCACCACCTCTAGACTTGCATTGGAAACTTAATCCTCAATGCAAAAAGGTTGAGATGAATGGGGCTGGGTGGCGGTGGTGGCACACACCTTTAATCCCAGTACTTGGGAGGCAGAGGCAGGTGGATCTCTCTGAGTTCGAGGCCAGCCTGGTCTAAGGCTCAAACTGTCTGGAAAATTTTTAAAGA